GCGATGCGAAGGCGAGCATTCCGTCCACTGCTTCGAGCGCAGACGCAAAGATGTGCATGTCGCTGTTGGCCATGGCTGCGCCTGACTACGCTGGTAGTCGGCACCCGAACAACCTTGGACCGATAGCGAACGGATTCTGCAGCGCACTGAAGCTCATGCAGGGGACGTGGTGAGAGGCTCAGTGGGCGAGGCCGGGACGCCTACCTACCCACGTGCCTGACATAGCTGACCTGGCCAGCTGCCTCGAGGACATGGCAACTTGAGCCAACATGATTTGAGCCAACATGGCAACGGACCTCCTCCGCCTCCTCCTCCTCCTCCTTCGCCCTCCTCCCCGTCCTCCTCCCCTGGGGTCCCTGGAGCGGGCTCCTGTAGGTCCTCGCTGCCTCCAGACGTCCCCGAAAGGGGGGCTCCATGGGTGCCCAGAGACCTCTGGAGGCCTCCGTGTGTGGAGGGGGGGGGCACCAAGGGGGGGGGGACCCAACTACGCTCCCCACCCTCGATCCTCGATCACCCCTCGATCCTCGATCCTCGATCCTCGAATCTCGATCCTCGAACCTCTCCATCCTCCTCCGCTCAGGGTGGCCCTCCCGCATCCGCGCGGTCCTGGTGTGCGGCGGCGGCGTGCACCTCGGAGCAGAGCTCGCACTGCTGGATGCCATACCTGCCGCGGCCCGCTCCCCCTTCTGGGGCAACCTCCTCCTCCTCCTCCTCCTCCTCCTCCTCCTCCTCCTCCTCCCCCTCCTCTCCTCCTCCGGGTCCTCCTCCTCGCCCTCCTTACCTCCTCCTCACCCTCTTCCTCCCCCCTCCTCGCCCTCTGCCTCTTCCTCGCCCTCTTCCTCACCCTCCTCCTCCTCCTCCTCCTCCTCCTCTTCCCCCTCCTCGCCCTCCTCACATCCTCCCCCCCCCTCCCCCTCCCCTCCTCCTCCTCCTCCTCCTCCTGCTCCTCCGCCTCCGCCTCCTCCTCCTCCTCCTCCTCCTCCTCCATCTCCTCTTCCGCACTCCTCCTCACCCATCCCCCTTCCCCTCCCCCTTCCCCTCCTCCTCCTCCTCCTCCTCCTCCTCCTCCTCCTCCTCACCACCACCACGAATCCTGGAAGAATTCGGTTATGTAACTCATTCTCCGTTCCCGGGACCCTGGAGCCCTCCACGGGCCCTGGGAACGTCGAACACGACTCGGGATGAAGAAACGGGGACTGGGGATGAAGAAACGCGTCAATGCGCCGTTTCCCTCAGGACCGCTTTCCTTCATGACGACCACTGCTGTTGCTCATCCTGCCCCAAAGGGAAGAACCGTTCTTACCTCTTCTGGGGCAACCTCCTCCTCCTCTTCCTCCTCCTCCTCCTCCTCCTCCTCCTAGTCCATCTCCTCCTCACCCTCCCTGCTCCTCCATCCCCCCGCCCCTACGGTTCAGACGAGTGCTCGTGGTCGACTGCCGTGCGCCCTACTGCCCAGCCCCCCCCCAGGCCAGTACGCACTTGTCACAAAAAGGGCTTGCGCACACCAGCTCCCGACTGTCCCCTCCCGCTCGCGCGGGACGGGAGGAGGGAGGAAGTGAGGGAGCAGATGAACAGGGGGAGGAGGATGAGGAGGGGGAGGAGGAGGAGGAGGAGGAGGAGGAGGAGGAGGAGGAGGAGGAGGAGGCTGATGATGCTGATGCTGATGCTGATGCTGATGATGATGATGATGATGATGATGATGAGGAGGAGGAGGAGGAGGACGAGGAGGAGGACAAGGATGAGGTTGAGGAGCAGCAGGATGATGATGATGAGGAGAACACAGAAGAGGAGGAGGAGGTGGAGGAGGAGGACCGGGAGAAGAGGCAGCATGAGAGGGGGAGGATGAAGGGGCCCCAGGACACACAAATAGATACACACAAGTAAAACGACTCCCCATATTTTCCCATATTTTCTGGGTTTCTGTTTTCCCCCCCCGCTTCCCATTCGATGGCTCGTCTCGCACTCGCCGTGCCACCACGAGGGTGAAGGGGCCCCAGGACACACAAACAGATACACACAAGCAAAACGACGCCCCCTATTTTCCCATGTCTCTTCGGGGTTTCTGTTTCCCCCCCCCGCTTCCCACATCTTCCCATCTCTTCTTGGGGAATCGAGGATTCATTGTGTCTGTGTGTTTCTCTTCCTCCCGAGAGGAGCGCACGGCGGGGAACGGACGGGGCTCTTTCTCTCCGGCCGCGGCGGGCCCGGGCCACGGCCGGGTTCCACGACGTGGCTTCGGGCAGCGGCCCGAAGGCGCGAGCCCCTGCCGAGCCCCCAGCGGCCCTTACTCGGCATCTTGACTGTGCTCTTTCTCTGTCTGTCTCTCTGCCCCTCTGCCTGTCTGCCTGCCTGCCTGCCTGCCTGCCTGTCTCTCCCTCTCCCTCTCCCGCTCTCTCTCTCTCCCTCTCTCCCTTTGTCTGGGTGCCGAGGGTGTTGCATTCTCCGCCCCCCCACTCTGGCGTAGGCAGCATCCATGGAGAAACCGATGCTCGCAGTGCCGAGTGCTCAGGAAGAAGACCCATACGTCCGAAGCCGTTGATTCTCAAGATGGGCTCGCGGAGTTCTCGGCACCTTCCCCCGGGGAACGCTTTTCAGTCTGAGCCATAGCCTGAAGGTCCCCCCAAAGCTCAAACACACACACACACACACCAAAAGCGCCTGGCACTTTTTTTGTTGTTTCTCTTCTTTTTCTCCTCGGGCCGACGACAATGCCGATGACAACCGATGACAAGTCGAAACCACGGCGGAATTTTCAAATCGTTGTGTGCGCATCCCCATTACCGAACAACATCTGCGTAACATATATATATATATATATATAGATATATGTATATAGGCGTCTGGCATGGCTGTTGTGTCAAGACGCGGGGGGAGGTCTTGGGAGGAGCAGGAGCAGCACCTGCAGGAGCAGGAGCACGCAGAAGCCGCTTGCCAACCTTGTTCCCGCTCCTGCGGTGCCTGCCGCAAGTGTCCAATAACAATGTGCGCCACACCGTTTCCGGCCTGACGTGCGGCCCAGCTCGGGGGACGCGCGTCCTGGCACCGAGCCCACCTCCCTGTCGATCTGCAGACTGGGGCCACGCTTTGGGCACCCACACGCGTGCGTATCCCGCAGGGTGCACCGGCCGGCTCTCGCTGTGCTGCTTGAAATTCCATGTGATCTGTGGTGCCTGCGGCCCGCAGTGCGCCGAGGACCTCAGAAAGAGAGAGAGAGGACAGAACTGAAGAGGCCCTGGGACACACAAAGAAATACACACCAATACATTTTCCCATGTTTTCTGGGTTTCGTCTTCCCCCCACTTCCCATATTTTCCGATATTTTCGGGGGAATCGACGATTCATTGTGTCTGTGTGTTTTTTCCTTCCTGAATAACCTCCAGATGCCGTAGGACGACTTCGGCCCCTGCCGTTGCAAGGCGGCACAGCCCCTGGAAGCCGATGCACAAAATGGGGAGGGGGAGCCACAGTGGGGTCTGGAGTCTCCTGCTCCTTGCTCGTCCCTCTCCTGCCCACCTCCCTCGTCCATCCACTGCCGTGCCAGCAGGAACAGCAGACCTGGCGCGTGGGCGCTGGAGCCACGGATCGGGGCAAACGCCCCCCGAAGCATGGAGCCAATGCCGTCCGATCTGGCGACGGAGCGCGCCGATTCTGTACGGGAGCGGGGCCGCCGACAGTCCACGCGCCTCGGTACGTGTCGGTGCTTCTTCGAGATGGGGGAGGGAAGAGAAGGGACCCCTCGCTGAGGGGAAACGCTGGGTGCGGGACCAGCTCGGGGGGCAACATCGACCTGGAATCGGGGATAAACCGCCGATGGGTCGGCGATGTGCCCCGATTGCGAATCCGCGCGGTCCTGGGCGGGATGGGCTATCGGGCTCCTACAGGCGATCGGGGGCTGATGCATCCCCCCGAGCCTATCCCCCTGAATTCGAAGGCGAACAAGCTGCATCAACATAAACTTTTGGCGCTCCGCGCGGATTTCTTGGATCTGCGCCGGACCCCCCTCCCTGTCGCGCGGAGCGCGCCAGGGGCGGCGCTGGAGGCGTGGCCGGGCGGGCCAAGCGCGGATCCAAGAGATACGCGCGGAGCGCCAAAAGTTTACGTATGCTTTTTCTCCCGCGACCAGTTTCGCCCCCGGGAAAGATGGGGCAGCGTGTTGCCCGTCGCCGACTCAAGCCGACTGGCGGCCTCTCAGGGCCACGGTGAGACCCGCGGGTGGGGAACGCTGGCGGCCTCACCTCGGCCTCTAAGTGGTGAGAGGCGTCGCTGCGCAACCGGGCGTCGGCTCGGTGATGTCCCCGCGCCGGCCCACAAGATCCCTCCTCCTCCTCCTCCTCCTCCTCCTCCTCCTCCTCCTCCTCCTCCTCCTCCTCCTCCTCCCCCTGGCGCCTCTGGCAGTCCGCGAGCACGTTGCCCATCTGCCCCTCAAAGCCGCCCCCCCGAGGCGCGCGTCACGCGCGCGAGGCGGGGAATAGGCTCGGGGCACGAACAATGGCATAAACATAAACCTTCGGAGGCCAGCGCGGGCTTCTCGCATCGGCGCTGGACCCCCCTCCCTGGCGCGCGGAGCGCGCCATGGGCGGCGCTGGAGGCGCCGCCTGGGGGTTCCAGCGCAGACCAAGGAGATCCGCACGGACGTCGGAAATGTGATGCTTGTGACACAAGCTTCGTTTCATTGTGGGCAGGGACCGACCGTCCCGGCAGTCCTACAGGCCTACCACCACATACTTGTAGAACCCCAAGCTTCTCAGAACATCGACCCGACGTGCTAAAACAAGACAGCCTCGGCCAGAAGTCTTCGGAAAACAAGTCGTGCAGACCACAAGCGCTTCTTAGAACAGCCTTTGGTCGGCCTGTAGCCGAGCCAAGGACGCCTCGCCACTGCTCGAAGACTCTGTGCCGCTGCTCGCTCTCCGAGAGGCGCCCGGCCCAGGGCTCCGCCGCGGCGGGCCAGCCCGCCCCCGTGCGCGGGCGGCCTCGGGCCTCGGGCCGAGCGGCAAACTCCCCCGCCGGGCGTGCGCGCGGACGCCCAGAGGGACCCCACACGACGACGACGACGACGACGACGACAACGACGACGACGACGTCGACGACGACGACGACGACGACCATGGGACCGGCCAGGGTCCACCGCGCGACCGACGAGGGAGGAGGGAGGACGACGACGGCGACAACGACGACAACGACGACAACGACGACAACGAGGGAGGAGGGAGGACGGCGACGACGCGAGCGACGAAGAAGGAGGAAGGACGGCGACGCCGACGACGACAACGACGAGGGAGGAGGGAAGACGACGACGAGACGACGACGACAACGACGACGACGGCGACGAAATAGGAGGGACGACGACGAGACGCCGACGACGGACGACGACGACGACGAGGGAGGAGGAGGAAGGACGACCACGGCGACAACGACGACGGAAACGACCACGACGCCAAAGAGGACGACGACGACGAACACGAGGAAAGACACAGGACGACGTAGGCGACGACGACGACGACGCGGGAGGAGGGAGGACGGCGACGTCGACGACGACGACGACGACGACGACGACGCCGCAAGAGCGCGCGCGCACGCTTTTGTTGAAAATCCGTGTTGCGAAACCTTGTGTTTTGTAGGTTTTTTGGACGCGCGATTTTGAAATCCTTCCGAAACCGATGGGTTTCGAAGGATTTCGGCGTACGCGCGCGACGACGCGCGCGTCTGCACTTCGTCCCATTTTTTGTAGAGGATTGTCGCGACTGCACACGCGCAAGGGCGTTCGACAGATTTCGACATGCGCGCGCGCGACGCCCGTTTGGTAGCATGTTGTGAAAATCTTGAAAAACCAATGGTTTTCTTAAGATTTTGCAAGAGCTCGCGCGTAAGCTTTTTTAGCAAATCAGTGCTACAAAACCCTTTGTTTTTGTATGTTTTTTGGAAACCCGATTGCGAAATCCTTCCGGCACCGAAGGTTTTTGAAGGATTTCGGCATGCGCGCGCGACGACGCCGCGCGCGTGAGCACTTCACCGCATTTTTTGCAAGGGATTCGTGCAAAAGTGCTATGTTAGAACAAACAATGTCACCGCATAATGTTTTTTACAAAAGGAACCTGGGGGGGAACCCGGTTGGCCTGGGACATTTTGATTTCATATTTAAGATGGACATGTGGTCATAATCATATGTGGTTTACATACCCGAAAGGGGTAGCGATACCTCCGGGGGGGGGGGGTAGAGTCTATTCTGTTTTTAGAAAGGAGAATACACGAGGTGTACGCGATGTGGCGCAATCTATGTGGTGCAAGCTATGTGTTGCAATCTATGTGGTGGAACCTGTCTGATATGAAGTATGTACTGCAACCTATGTTGTGTCAACTACGTGATGCAAATTATGTGGTGCATTACGTGCGATGCATCGTATGTTGTGCAACACATAGATATACATATACACATACATATATATTTATATATATAGAGAGAGATAGATAGATATGGTGCATGCAACTCAAACAACGTGACAGCAATGACAAACAATGCAAATTAGTGCGCATCAACGCAAATGACGCAATACACATCATTGTACCGCACTGCAGAATAATGCAGAGTAACGCAACGCAATGCACCAAAGAAGTCATTGCCAAGCAATGCCAAACGATGCAAAGCAATGCAAAGCAATGCAAAGCGGGCAGCGACGAGGCGGCGGGCGGCGACGATGCGGCGACATGGCGGCCAATGGCCCGCAGGCCCAGGCGACGGGCGGCGACGGGACGGCGACGGCGGCGACGTGGCGGCCAGAGTGGCCCGCAATCCCAGGAGACGGGTGGCGACGGGCGGCGACGAGACGGCGACACGGCGGCCACAGCGACCCGTAGGCCGAGTTCGGTAATTCGAAGAGAAGCAAGAACCACTAAGTTATAACCATGTTATATATAACATGTATATGCGTACAGCTGTACCAATACAGTGAGCACCTACATTCACAGAAAGCGGACCTGACGTAATCTCCGACCCGGCGGGACGGCTGAGTCGCGAGCGCCTCTTGAAGGCCCCAGACGGCCCCAGAGTGCCCCAAGAGGGTCCCCAATACGGGCCAAGAGGGCTCCAAGAGGCCGTTTAAACGGTCCAAGAGGGCCCCGAGTTGCCGAGCGATCGGTTGAAGACGGTCCAGATTGTTTCCAGACGGCCCAAGACATCTCCAAGACGCCCCAATTGGCCTCCAAGAGCCCTCCCAACAGAGCTCCAACTGGCAAACATCGTCCCGTTCCTTGAGGAACAAATTTGTTTCAGAGTATGCGACGTTTCTGCCTTCACGGCGTCCAGGATGCCTCCCAGATCATTCCAAGGCGGCCCAAGAGGGCTCACAGAGGGCCCCTGAGAAGCCTCAAGACGGCCTAAGAAGCGCCGAAGACGGCCCCCAGAGGGCCTTCAGAGGGGTCCAAGAGGGGCAACTCGAATTGAGATTTCGAACCCTCCGCCCAAGACTTCGTGGGGGGCTCCCGAGACCGCCAGCAGGTCCCCAAGAGACCCCAAGAGGCCCCCAGGAGGCCCCAAAGAGCCCCATTAAGGCCCCCAACCGATCCCCAAACGGCCCCCAAGAGGCCTCCTCACATGCCCCAAGGGGGGTCGCGGGTGGGTCGCGGGTGTGTCGCAGTGGGTCGCGGGTGTGTCGCGGGTGTGTCGCGGGTGGGTCGCAGGGTGGGTCGCGGGGTGGGTCGCGGGTGGGTCGCGGGTGGGTCGCGGGGTGGGTCGCGGGTGGGTCGCGGGGCGGGTCGCGGCTGGGACGACGACAACAAACAACAAACAACAAACAACAAACAACAAACAACAAACAACAACAACACCAACAACACCACCACCACCACCAACAACAACAACAACAACAATAAGTTTAAGACTGTTCGCCCTTATATGCTCGAATGTCCAATAACGCGTATTTCCCAAACCCTCGATACCCGCCCTCTTCGTCTTCGATCGAACCCTTTTTGGGGGGTATACCTTTCTTCCCTGCAGGCCGGGCCCCGGCAAGCGGCGGGGCGGCCGCGGACCGTCGGCCTGGCCAGCGGCAGCGCTGATCGGCGGGGCGGCCGCGGACCGTCGACCCGACCCCAGGAGGGACGGACAGGGGACCGACCACGACGACGACGACGACGACGACGACGACGACGACGACGACGACGACGTCGAAGACGACGGCGACGACGACGACGGTGACGACGAGCGAAAGCGAGGGCGAGAGAGAACGACAGCAGGGCCACGAAGGGCACGAAGTAGGCCACGAAGGGCGACAGCGGGGACACGAAGGGAATGCGTATGCGGCCACGAAGAGCGCGAACGAGCGGGGGCCACGAAGTGCAGATAATGCGGGGCCACAGAAGGCAACTATGGGGCCACTGAGGGTAGCAACTGGGCGACGTAGGACAGTGAGGGGGGCACAAATGGCGACAGCGGGGCCACGAAGGGCATGCACATGGGGCCACAACGGGCGCGACTCCTGGGTGCCTGGGTGTCGGGAGTGCGGCGCTTGGCAAATTGTAGGAAATTCCAACGCAAGGCCATTCTTCAGAAAGTTGCGAGCAAGTCTCCAGTGAGAGCGCGACTCCAGAGCGCTGGGAGAGCGATTCCTGAATAAATTGTGAAGATGTCCCACGCGAGAGCGCGATTCCTGAATAAAATACGAGGAAGTCTCGGGCGGGAGCGGGGGTCCTGGCCAAATTGTAAGGAAGTCTCAAGCGGGAGCCAATGTTGTTGTAACCCGGGGGCCAGGGGCCCAGTTTGAGCAGGAAGACTTTCCCTGTCAAAAAACAGGGTGCGAGCGTCGAGGGGCACACTTTGATTGAGAAAAAACAGGATGCACCGGTGAGGGGGGATCAACAATAATTATTCTTCAGAAGTGAGAATTCAACAACGAGAATCCGCATCGCGGAATTCCACTTCAGCCAGGCACCCAGGGACAGCGAATGACCATTCGGTTCAGCCCCCTCACTCTGATATAATTAAATTTTATGTATTTTTGGATACACATGCATATACAATACCAGCTGGGACCCTTGGCCAAACGCACTGGCACGTCTAACCTGCTTCAGCCGACATCTCAAGCGTCTCCCGGGCTCTCCTCCCGGGCTCCTGATGTCCCAGTCCCGGCTGCCCAAGACTTGGAAGTTCGCAGGCATCGAAGCTAAGCTTAGGTCGGGCATGCCCCCCTACAGGGGGTTTTGTGCGACAAATAAAACATACTCAACAAATACTCCCAAATAGTCAAAACATATCAAACAATCGTCCCCAGACATTTTTTTTTGTTTTAGGCTATTTTTGAATATTCCTCCTGCAGAGGGACAGGCCCGAGTTAAAGCTAATCCGCTGGCTGCCGATGCACACGCTGCCTCGATCCTCGCTATCTCATCGACAATCTGCGACGATGTGAGCTCGCTCGTTGATCCCCCCAGGCTGGGTATTTCACTCCCTCGGGGCACCCGACTTCAAGTATTTGTGGGTCTTTCTGCTCCATGCCCCCGGACATCAGCTCTGTCGGAGAAATCGCCTCTGGCGGCGATGGCAAAGGCGGCCGCTGATGAGGTAGGGTTCTTTCCACTGCGATGTCCTATACCTTGGCCTGTCCTTTTCCATAGTGGCATGGCCTTCTGGTCTCTTTGTCCATGTTGCCGGAATGCCTTGTCCTGGGGCAGTCGATGTAGCTGGTGCAGCAGGCTGTGGCAGCACTGGCGTATACACCCATCCCCGGAGTTGGTGTTCTGGGTGCTGGCACCCCTGGCGCCACCGGCGACAACCCCGCTCCCGGCGCGGGAGATGCAGCCGCTGCAGCGCCGTCCGCGGCCGCCGAAAACCTCACAGGCTGCGGCATAGCCGCGTGGTGCATGCAATTCCTCCTCCTCCTTCTCTTCCTCCTGCTCTCCCTCCCCATTCTCCTTCATCGCTTTGCGACAGGTTCATTCCGTTCCCCTCCCTCCCCGTTCTCCTGGTGTGAGCTTCTTCCTCCTCCTCTCCCCTCTTCTCCTCTTC